ACTATTTTAACAATGTCGTTGTGAAAGCGAAACTACTTTGTTTGGCCTTCCAAAAGAGGACACGACTAGAAATCAGTGGTTAAGTTGTATTTACAACACTGTTCCAGAACAGTTCAACCCAAATATTCAGATGTGTGCTGCACATTTTATGGAGGACTGTTTCCTGATCCTGGTAGAGTAGACTACAATGCCGGCTGTTCTGACTCACAGACTGTAAGAGTAGCACTTGTTGTTTGTAATTTCTCCGATCACATATGCAGACATAAAAAGACAGTATAAGTCATTATAATCCGTAATTATGTCCCCACTGGATGCAACAAATGCCTCGTTTATAATGGCTTTTAATGTTTTTGTCTCGTCACTCCAGCCGGACAGGGCATCACAATATGGTAAGGGGCGTAACATTTCCGTCACACGCTTGAGGTATTCGGCCAATCACAACGCACTGGATAGCTGGCCAATCAGAGCACACCTCGCTTTTCAGACCGATGAGCTTTGTAAAAATCTATGCGTTTCAGAAAGGCGGGGCATAGAGGAGAAACAATAATGTACAGTATGTGGAAAATAACGTGTTTTTTTAACCTTAAACCGCATAAACACATTTCATTACACCAAATGCACAAAATAATGTTCTTGTTAGCAACATCATATGACCCCTTTAAATTGTGTTCTGAAGATGAACGAAGGTCTTAAGGGTTTGTCTTACAAGGTACGTTCAAACTCCACAAAGAGCCATTATATGCTTGAACATAGATTTGATTGGTAAAGTTTGTTTGGGGTGTATAGCAAGTAATATCAAGTATGTTCTTAATTGCACTTTTGAACTTCATTGACCATGACTTAGCTAATTGTTCCTACGTCCGCCCTTCCAGCAACCCTTCCTGGAGGTGAAAATATCAGACACTGTCAAGCGGTCCAGACGGGACACCGGCCTCGATTGCAATGAGCATTCCACTGAGTCCCATTGCTGCCGGTATCCACTCACCGTTGACTTCGAGGAATTCGGTTGGGACTGGATAATTGCTCCCAAGCGTTACAAGGCCAATTACTGCTCCGGTGAATGTGTGCAGAAGTACCCCCACAGTCACATCGTCAACAAGGCCAACCCTCGGGGCAGCGTAGGCCCTTGCTGCACGCCCACCAAGATGTCACCCATAAACATGCTGTATTTCAATGACCGTGAGCAGATAATCTATGGAAAAATCCCTTCAATGGTCGTGGACCTTTGTGGCTGCTCTTGAGCTTCTTGAGTAGCTACGACAGCAAGCCCTCACTACTCTGGACCAGAGGGGAAGTGAAAATAACCTTTACCTTGTCCCTGACAAAATAGTTCCTGCTAAAACAATTGACCACACCAGGATCCCAACAAACCAACTTATCCAATTATTTTAGTTCGTTCTCATCGACTTTTGCACACAAGAACAATAGTACCAAGGTGACAAGGCTTTCTTTGTTTATGAAGGTATAAGGCTTCCTCTGTGAATGCATTTGAGCACAGAGATGACCTGATGGGCTTTACCAGCTTGATAGCAGAATGTAAAAACTGCAAAAAGTACTTTAAGTTTTAAATTAATGTCAAGGGGGGTTGTATAGCTGATTATTTATATAAAGTCACTTATCCCCCCAGTGACCCAAAAACAGGAACACTGACCCAGAAACTCACTCAACATGACGTCCAAACAATAGACTTTAGGAATTCTGCAGTTTCATAGCATATGGGTAGTTGACATATAATAGGGATAAGAGAACTCTGTTATTGCTGTAACTGGTCATAATTTTTAAATTTACAAATAATCTTTACATGCTTTTTAGACATTGCTGGAACATGTCAACTACCCAAAAGCCTACATCTTTTGTTTCTTGTCAAAAAACACTGATTAAATTGCCAATTCACTAGTTAGCCTACATAATGTCATAGGCTAGAGATGAGCATAGAGATGTTTTTTAAAACATGGAATTAATTGTATAGATTCTACGGTTCAAAATCATGTTGTAGTTTTGATCTGATGCACCAAGTAAAATGCCTGTTATTGATGTCTCTGAGTTGTTTTCGCGTGTCCTTAAAGGACCTCTTCAGTGTTGTCCCTTTGTAACCCTTAACAGAGTGACAACCACTGACACCATTCCAAGCATGTGGAGCACATTATTGCGCTCAAAAGCAACAAACCCATATTCCATGGAAGCTAAAGCCTCTCTTCTGTTATTTTGTTCTCTGGAGGGCTCCCCAGTGGGATGGAGGCCCTGTGGGGCAACAACAGTAGAAGTCTGTCCCCAGGACAATGAGTGCACTTATAAATGTCTTAATTTGATTTTTCAAAAAGGTTTGTGCATATCATTTAGCTGTGTGATTCAATAGTAACAGTTAGGGAGGTTGTATAGTTGATTATATATATTGTATATATATACATAAATATTAATGTGTGTGTGTTTATATATATATATACACACACATTTATTAATATTTTAAAATACCAGGATTGTGTTAGACATGGTACTTGGGGTTTGTTCAATACCATGATCTTACAATTATTATTATC